TTTATCAAAATTTGAATGGACCCGACTTAAGGCCCAAACCTGAAGCAATGTAAAATGTTAACTTGGCCAACCCTAGTTGCACCTTAATTCTTGATCTCCAAGATATATGTCATAATGGTGTCCTCTCAAAACACATACTTAGGTGATATTTGGTACCATGGTTATTGGAATGCTTCACACCAGTACTAACCAGGCATTTTGAGTTCTAACGTCATTTTTTTAGATTGGTTGAGAATGTTATAAGTTGTATTGTAAGACGTTTTTACTATAGATAAGATTGGGGTTTGGAGGGAAATGTCAAATTAAAAGGTTCCTCCTTTCTACCCATTCGAAGAAACAGTCCAATGACCTGTAACTTAATTGGTGTCCTATGCAGTAAGTATAGAGATATATTCTAGTGCATCGCATAGGGGGCTGTGAATGGATCAGGTCTGCCTTGGAACATGGTTGAAGGTCGCAAACTGATAGTTAAAATAGGTAGACTTAGGATCAAACCAGACCCTAATGGTTCTATAAAATTAGAGTCAGTAACGAACCAATTAGTCATTGGGACGATCGGGCCTGACATAACAAGGCTTGATTAAATCAAGCAGCTAATTTATAATGGATTCAACTATGATGCTGGAAAGATATGATATCAGAAAAACTTACAGCCAGTCAACTGCAATGGGATTCTCTGCAAACAAAAACTCTGCACACTGTAAAAAAATGAGAATTCAGTCATATATTTGAAACATCTCCCCATGAATTTAATAGACATGTGCAGGAAATATTCCCAATATGTGGCTAGATGCTATGTGCATAAAATTTTTACTTTGCAGAAGATTCAGGCTCCAATCAACTAATATCATAAAAGGGGTGACCAATAATGTGGTATTCTTCAAAATTCACAGGGTGCTTTTGATTGTTCAAAGCTTTTTTAGTACCATGTCTTTCCAGTATCAAAGATTATTTTCCTTATAATGGATCTGTTACACTTGCAAAGTTGCAATGAAAGTGTTGATGGGCCAGATGATACTGATTAAACGCAATACCTTTGGGCGATTTTGATAGCTACTTTGAACTTTATCAACCGAAAAACAAAAGACAAATAGCAATAGGGGTTATATCAGTTAAGGGCAACTTTTGGCCCTTAATATCAATAAAAGTAATATATTTAAAAAAAAAAATTCAAAAATAGGTTAACTTTTTAAAAATAATATCAGTTAAGGGCAAAAACATTGTTCATCTTCTTCTTCTTACAATCCATTCACTGGCGTCGCCGTCCGCCGCCACCCACTGCCGCCTCCAGCAATGCCTCCACCTATCTCCGCCACCTCCGCCTCCGCCTCCGGCAAGGTTACCAGAGGTGGGTGTAGGCAGAGGCGGTGGTGGTGCTGGTGGGCGGAGGTGGCGGCATAGGGTAGAGGAATGACCACCAGCGCTACCGCCGCCACCTCCGTTTCCGCCCACCTTCGACAACGTTGCCGAAGACGGAGGCGGAGGTGGCGGAGATAGACGAAGGCATTGCCGGAGGCTAAGGCGGACAGCGCCGGTGAATGAATTGCAAAAGGAAGAATATGAACAATGTTTTTACCCTTGATTGATATTATCTTTAAAAAGTTAACCCATTTTTGAAATTTTATTAAATATATTACTTTTATTGATATTAAGGGACAAAAGTTGCCCTTAACTGCTATAATCCCAAAACAATATSACTGATTTGGACAGAAATTATGTGAATAACATGATTGACATAACGCATATGCTTTGATCATGAACTATATAAATCCATTTATMTAGAATTAAAGAAAAATGCATCCATCTTGTCAATAAACAGTCTTCAATGTTAAATTACTACATTATTTCTT